ATAAGTGTTACGTTTTTTTGTCAATTTCCAATGCATTATTTGTGTTATTTGTTGAAATATTTGCCTAGTGTTAAATTAGCATAAAAGTTACAGCGGATAAATTAGGGATTGTAAAATGTGTTAAATTTAATACAAAGTTTTTTGTAACGCAGCAACGACAACAACATATATATTGGCATAAAACATTGATCAAATATTCTTTATCAAAGTGAAGTTAGCAGTTTAAGACAGAGAGTGAGAAAACTGTTGCAGCTATCCCTTTTTCATTCAATCTTAGAATGGCTGTCAAGAGCTCTCTGCCATATTTCTAATATATTAAAATATATATAGTATATATATAGTATAATTTTACAAGGAATATATATATATATATATATATATATATATATATATATATATATATACACATATTGTTTCTCGGCAGCTGTTCTAAGATAGAATAAGAAAGGTATCATTTTGTTTCAAACTGCTAACGCCAATACCTCTAGCAGAAATATACGAATGTTTGGTCTATATATGTTCTTGAATAGGATTGTCAAATGTGAAAATTGAGAAATCTAAATAGATTTTCAAAGAAAAGGAGGAAACTGGAAATATAGTTTGTAAAAATACATTTTTTGGAGAAAAATATATTAACAGACTTATAATTATTACAATAGTGATAAATAAAAATATATATTATAGCAAGAATACAAGAATGTAATCACAGATTTTTAATTATAATTATTGCGATAGCGACAAATGGAAAGCTGAGCAAAGAAATGTAATACACTATTTTAAATGGCTAGATTCTGAAACGTTTTTAATATTGGCTGGGCCAATCAAAATCTTAGCTGGACATAGATGATAAAATCTACCCAGCTGAGATCAGAATGTCTGGCAATACTCTATAGTTGTAGTAACGACAGCGACAGCGTCCGCACTTGCGCTATTCCGCCGATCGATTTGCGCGTCGATCTCTCAATCGCTCTCTCCGAACGCGCGTGGAGCCGTTCTACACATTATTGGCATTGATTACACGACGATTACACGCAATCGCGCCGCGCGCACGTAATATAACGCGACTCGCATACCTGAGCGTTTTCACGTAGCCACAATTTTCCGTGCGCCAAGCGTGCTTCATTTAGCTCTCGCGCTCCTATACGCGATCGCCTGCGCGTAGATATAGCGTGCCGTTGCCGCGAGATAAGATCGGAGATTATAGTCGAGACAAGTTTCAGATTTTTACGCTCCCCCGATTTCTTTTTCTTCCTTTTAATTTGTCATTTTTGCGCTGCCCTCTCTTTCGCGTTTGCCTGCGCTGTCGTTTTGCATATCTGGCATCAGTCGAGTGTATCTAGAGGTGCGAGAAATGTATCTCGCGCGTCAACTAAAGTCAGTACTTGCGTTATCATTTTGTATTTTTCGCACTTTCTTCCCCGCATCGCGCTAATTAGAGTTGAAACGGCGCGATGGAAAAGGAGGTTGGGTAAGATAGATCATTTTTTACCTAAGCGATGGAACTTTATATATGAATATGTTTTCTTATATTTTTTAATATGTTGAATTACTTGCAAACATTAATTTCAAGTTAAACTGGTAGGAAAGTATTGAAAATCGCATTTAAAGTATCACAGTTTCGTCGAAATCTATATAAAACTTAAAAATACATAACATTTTTTACCTTCTTTTTTTTATAATCTCTCTTCCAAACTTTTACTCTTACTTAACATCACCCATTTTGACATCAACTAATCTAATCCAGGGCAACCTAACATCATCGAAGTTAAAGTATGCTCCATCCTTTTGAGGATTGAGATCATCTATACATCTATAGTATATCTATAGTATATTAAATTGCTGGTATTAACTCCCTAGACTAATATATAATAAAATAGAACTTATACACATCGAGATATGCACACAAACACATATTTCGATATAGTAATCTCAGTAACTATATAGGTGAAGAATTTTTACATTTGTAGAATAACTGTATTCTGGTTATCAAGACCGCCGTCAAGTATATAGCTTTCGAATATATAGAATCTAAGAAGTAAAAAGAAGGTAAAAAAATGTTATGTATTCTTGAGCTTGTATGCAGATTTCGACAAAAATTGTGCTACTTTGAACGCAATTTTCAATATTTTCCCATCAGTTTAGTTTGAAAAGAATATTTAAAAATGATTCAGTAATAAATATGATTCACATAAAAAAATATAAGAAAACATGCATAAGAAAGTTCTATTGCTTAGATAAAAAATGACATATTTTATCCGTTCTCCTTTTAATTCATTTCGTTGTGAGATGCGTAAAATTCTAGGTCTCTCTCCCTCCCTGTTTTCCTCTCTCTTTGGCAACTGTTTCCCATCCGGCAATCTGTCCCTTTTCTATTATCCTCGGGTGGATATTACTTATTCCGCTGAAGTAACGGTAACAAGACGTGATGACAATGTATACAGACGTGACTCGATTAACATAAAGTATTGTTTTGTTCTCGAGCTACCTCAGAAAATGGCGCACAAAGCCTGCATCGAAATAGTAGATTTAATTGTCATGCCGTGAATATCGCGTATACCGCTTTGTCGTTTTATTGCATTAACTGAAAATGAGGAAGTGCATCGCCATGCCGTTTGTAAATTCGCTTTAATGCGCCTTTGATATTCCTCTCGGCGAGCATGTTTGAAGAAGGTAGTACTTCGCTCGCAAAAATGCAATTTGAGAACTAAAATCGCAGCGGAATATTGAGAAACCTTTGAGTCTCTGCAAATATTTCGAAACGATCGAGCGACCGATCGCGCGAATATCTTCCCTTCTTTCTTTCGTTTTCCTTTTTTTCATCTCGAAAGATTCGAACAGCGCAAACGTGGTGGAAACGTGACCGGCGCGTAATCGATGAGGGGAGTGGGGATGAGCAAGAGTCACAATGAGAAAAAAAGAACAGGAGGATTAGAAACATAAAAATAGAGTGTTTTATTATTCAGTCATAGTTTTTATTCTAATAATATCTCTTTCGTTGTCGAATAGTTTGCGAGACATGATAACCGCTTGCGAGGAAAGCTAAAGAGGACGATTTCACGTTTGTACATTGTATATCTCGAATATTTGTAGCAACACGTCAGTATCTTCAACGTAAACGCGCACTTTGAATTCGACAAGTCGCATTTCGGACAAGATACACACGTACACGCTGCGTAAAGTTTGTTTTATCATCCGAGCGCACCGAGGAGCAGTGTGTGCCCTCTTTCTCGCTTCAGCGAATGTTGTTACCGTTGTCGAAAAACGCGATCGGGCGATACGAGCCCGACTGACTTTTGCAAAAAAGCGTATCGTATGTACACAATTCATATATACTCCGCGCGCGTGAAAAAGGAAAAAGAGAGAGAAACAGGAGTTCGTGCGAGCGCCCGGCAGAACGAGTGTGTGATCCACGGCGCTACCGTGTCTCCCCCCAGTGGCGGCGAAATGAGACTGTCGAATTCAAAACGTAGAGACGACCTCGCGCGACAGATAGATTACACTTTCTTAAATTAATCGTTAATCGACGGGGCGTGCGAACGTTCTTCGTCGTTTACAACGAACTCTGTTGTCGTCTGCAACGTCATCGTGTTTCTCTGTTACTCGTGTAGCTCGTCAGTCGCGAAAGCGCTTCCAAGTCGCACATTGGAGTCTCTCTCCTTCTCGATCGAGTCGGAACGAAATAAATAAGACCTAAGGTAATACTTTACAATCGTATTCACGCCCGGAATTTCGTTTATCACCGTGTGGGAAGGGTGGGAGTGGAGGAAGGAGGGAGAGGGGAAGGTGGGGAGCAACGGCTTTCGCATCGCTTGCTGGGATTCGTAAGTTCGTGCGCGCTTCCTGGATGATGGGGCACGCCAGACAAGAGGGAGGAAGTGTATAGATACAATTAAATATACATAATAATAATAATTAGGAAGTGGTATCACTGTTGGCGCAGTGGCTCGAGCCAAGCTATCTAAACAGCCGAATCGAGGCACGAACGGCGCGCGGATGTACGGACCCAGATAGACAGGTGTGCGTAAATTTGACGGCAACTTCACCGGTCGCGAAGCTTGTTGTGTCCCTCATGAGTGGTTCACTCATATTTATCGCGTACAATGACGAAATAGAAATACGAATGGAAAAAGGAAACGAGAGAGAGATCACAATCTATTCGAAAGAGCGCGGCGTGTAAGATGCGATATGATAACCCGAGGGGAGTGACTTTCAGTAAAATTCAGTTGCTGCGTCAGTGTAACAAAGAATTCACATAGTAGGTTTGATAATTAATTCGATCGTGTAGACTCGCTTCGCAAATGTCATTGGCGAAATGGTAAAGTTTCCATTGTCGATTGTTTCACCTCGTGACAATCGCGAGAGTCTATCTGGGGACGGACGTCGGGACACTCCGGTATATCCTCCTCCCGCGCGCGGACATTTCACCCGCGAGCGGAGGCTGGCGAGAGAGATAGCTGCCGGCGAAATGAAAATTATTGCGCGCCGCGCGCCAACGGTGCAACGCGTTCACCCGAGAAACGCCGCGCGGCTCGCTTTTAACGATCGGCGAAACTATTTACAGTTACTCCGAATGCGCGCCATTCTCGTCATCGGCAAATAACGAGCGATCTCCGTAACGAACACGTACAAAGCGACGAAGAGTGACGAATTTTAAGTACACGAGCGCGCACTAGTTTATCGGGCGGGGATGATTGCACCGAGTGTGCCGCAGCCAATCGACCGACCGACCGGTTGCAAGCGCATCTCTCACTCTCACATATACACGCACACACACACATACACTCTCTCTCTCTCTCTCACTCTTTCTGCGTATCTTGCTCTCTTTCCACGATCCACGGCACACACACACACATATACTCTCTCTCTCTCTCTCTCTCTCTCTCTCTCTCTCTCTCTCTCTCTCTCTCTCTCTCTCTCTCTCTCTCTCTCTCTCTCTCTCTCTCTCTCTCTCTCTCTCTCTCTCTCTCTCTCTCTCTCTCTCTCTCTCTCTCTCTCTCTCTCTCTCTCTCTCACTCTTTCTGCGTATCTTGCTCTCTTTCCACGATCCACGGCACACACACACACATCCACGTTGACACGCGTGCAGCCAGCACTACTGTCACACCCGACGTGATCGCACGTTCCATGAGCCGAATGGCGCGGCAGCAGCTCTCGTCGCTCGTAATTCGAGCGACCGAGCGAACACGACGTTCTATTTACAACGAGTTTCAACTATCTACCCCCTCGTCTCCCTCGTGGACTCGCTCCGATGCGACTACATAATTTACACGTTCTCCAAGAGTGGCGCGCGCGCGCGCGCTTCACGCACACCAAGCACAAACACAACCGCGCGCTCGCGCGCGCGGGAGCTTCTTAAATATCTCCGCACTTTTATCACTCTCTATGTACACCTACTCCTTGTTTCCCTCCCTTTCTGTCGCGCAATAGGCGCGCTCCATTTATACAGGTTAATCCGTCGTTTATGTACACACTGTATTGCACCGGCCGAATGCGCTCCGATCCACTGACCCTCGTCGTCGAGATCCGTCTCACGCGCGTCCGACGCATGTGTGTACACCCTCGTGTATATCCGCGAGTATTTCACCCGACACGAACGACACGTCGCGTCGCATTACGTTACACGAACTTGACACACGCGCGCACACATCACAGACTCGCACTCGCGGATCATATGTGGACGGACACGGTGCGCGAGCCGTTGGACGTTCGGTTGTTATGCTGCCGTCGGACCGGCGGCGGCTGCCTCGTCCTTTGCGTCGTCCGCTGGTTGTTCGGCACGTCCGGCAGCGCGAACCGCAGCTTCTCCCAGAAAAGCTTGTCGCCCCACTGCAGATAAGTGTTCGTCTTAAGGTACAGCCGTATGTCCGGGTCGAGATCGCGCTGGTGCACGTCGCCGACCAGCACGAGTATCAGCCGGCGTCTCCTGTCCCTCAGCACCTGATGATGCGCCGACTTGAAGTCGAAGCGACACCACTCGGACTTGATGAAGTTCTCCGACAGCACCATGATCGTGCGTCGCGACGACTCCACCGCCTGGACGATGGTGTCCGCGATGAAACTGCCGACCGGGAAGTCCCGGTAGTGCAGGCACAGTTTGTACGACGGATTGCCCATTTCGAGCACCGGCGCCAGCTCCTCCGCAACGAACGCTTCGTCTTTCGAGCTGTAGCTCACAAAGGCGTCAAACAGCTTGTCCCGGTCGTCGCGGTCGACCTCGTGATTCCGGTAGAATATCCGCACGCCGAAGCGCGAGTGGAACCATACGCGCAGCTCGTGACGGAACACGAAGGCGAGCATACAGAGCAGCATGACGATGAGCGAGCTGGCCAAAGTAGCCACCAGGAGCGGCAAGTAATCCTGCAGCACCTGCTTCTCGATGATGGTCTTGGTGTAGTTGCGATGCGCGTCGTTTTCGATGCTCGCCGCGCCGGTGCAGACGCTGCTGCTGTCGTTGTTCCCGCGCTCGCCCGTCGCCATCACGAAACCGAACTCGTCGTCGCCGAACACTTCGTCACCGAACGCCTCGAACTCGCTGACGTTGTACACACAGCGCACCGCGGACGCGTCGCTGACGCTCACACTCGGATTGCGCGTCCACTCGCGATAACTCTGCAGGTAATCGCACTCGCAGGACCACGGATTGCCGGCTAGGCTGACCTCGATGGTGGTCGGCAGCGACCAGATCGCCAGGCTGATGAGACGGTTGTTCTGCAGCCGCAGGATGCGCAGAGAGCGCAGCGGCGCGAACGTGTCGTTGCCGATCGCGACGATGCGGTTGCGCTGCAGGTGCAGCTGCCGCAGCGCGTCCAGGCCTTCGAACTCGTGGCCGCGCAGCTCTCGTATCCGGTTGTCCTGCAGGTGCAGGTCCTCGAGGTCGCGCAGGCCGTTGAACGAACGGTTCTGCACGATCTCGATGTTGGAGGCGTTGAGGAACAGAACTTTGAGCTTCTTGCGGCCGATGAACGCGTGACTGGACACCACGTGCAAGTCGTTACCGTCCAGATAGAGGCGCGTCGCGTCCATCGGTATCTGCTCCGGTAGCTTGCTGGTGTGTCCGCCGTTGGAGCAGTCCACTACGTTCGCCGACCACGACTGATCGTGATAACACGTGCAGTTCTGCGGACAGGTCATCTCGCAGTCGCACGCGTCGAAGTCGCAGCAGTGGCACAGCGCGAAGCAGTGGGTGTCGTATTTGCAGAGAAATTGCGAGTGCGACGCCTCGACCAACGGCACGAACGCGTGCTCGCGGTCGTACAGGAGCTTGCAGTAGATACTCTCGAGATCCATAACGCGCGGCTGCACGCGCGTCTGATTCTGCCGGTTGACGCGTTGCAGCCACTCCATGGTGCAGTCGCACAGGTACTGATTGTCGCCGATGTAGAACTCCGGCAACGACCGGTCCGTCGGCACCGCGCTGATGCGCAGAGCGTACGGCTCGAGGTTGCGTATTTGATTACCCTTGAGGTCCACGCGCGTCAAGTTCGGCTTCTTGAAGAACGAGTAGCTCTGCACCTTGGAGATGAGATTGTCGTTGAGAAACAGTAATTCAACGCTCATGGGGATGGCGTTGCCGGTGATCTCGGTCAGACGGTTCTCGCTGGCGTCGAAAGTGCTTAGTTGCAGCTGTGTCTCGATTTCGTAGTAATTGCCGAGCTCGCGAATCTCGTTGGAATGTATATCCAACCACTGCAGTCCGGTCGGTATCATGGCGTAGTCGAACCACTTGAGCCGATTATCGCTGACATTCAGCCACACGAGATTCGGCAGGTGAGTGAAGAGGCCAGCGATGTCGGCCAGCTGATTGCCGTCCAGACGGATCGCCTGGAGATTGAGGTTCTCGTCGAATGTACCGGTTTCAATGTACTGTATGCGGTTGCGCGATAGGTTCAGGATCTTCAGTTCCTTTATACGATCGAAGATGCCCTTGGTGAGATTACCGATGTGATTTTCGGTTAATCGCAGCCCGTACAACTGCGTCACGTGGTCGAAGGTGCCGTTCGGTATCTCAGAGATGAGGTTCTCGCCGAGGTCGAGGGTGCGCAGCAAGGGAGTGGCTTTCAAGACATCCGGCACCGATGTCAGCCGATTACCGTTAAGATGAAAGTCCTGTAGGGACGAGGCGTTTCTCAGGGAACTCGGGTGTATCGTGTGTAACCGGTTGTTGTCCAGCGAGAGGAGACTGAGCACGTAGAGGCCGCTCAACGTGGTGGCATCCACCACGGTCAATTGGTTGTCGCTCAGCAGCAGCGTGTGCAGATTATAGAGCGCCGAGAATGTGTTCTCCGGCAGACTCTCCAGCAGATTCTCCTGCAACCGTAGTATCTGCAGACTGTAGAGATCGCGAAAGACCGTCGGATCGAGCCGCGCGATACGATTGCTCGAGAGGTCCAACACCACCAAACGTACCAAACCACCGAACGTAGCCGCGTTCACCCATTCCGCCGTGAGCTCGTTATGAGATAGGTCTAACACCAACAACTGTGTCAGTTCACTGAACAATCCGGGCGGTAGAACACTCAGCGTATTGTTCCTCAGATGTATCTCCTGTATGTCCCTCGCGTCGGCGAACAGCTCCGGCGGCAGGCTGGCCAGTCGGTTGTCGGCGAGTCTCAAGATGGCCAGCGAGGAGAGGCCCTCGAACGCGCGATCCGCCATGAAGCCGATGGCGTTGCAGCGCAGATCCAGGCTGTGCAGCCGCGTCAGGCCGGAGAAGGCCGCGCTCGGCAGCGACTCGATACTGTTATTGCTGAGATCCAGCTCCTTGAGACTCGTGAGGCATCTCGCCGCGGTGCTGAAGCGAAAACTCGTGATGTCGCGCAGCCGGTTCCTCGTGAGATTCAGCACCTCAAGATTCACCAAGGGACAAAGCGCGCCTTCCGGTATGCTCCACATGTTGTTCTCACCGAGATCGAGCTTCTCCAGCTGCCGAAGCTCGTCGGTGAAGGCGCCCGCGGACACGTCGAGCGCCATCGCGGACCAATCGGTGTTGTGCGTCCTCACGGTGAGGTTACGCAGCTCTCGCAGCCCCTTGAACGCGTCGTCCGACAGGTTGCCGATCTTGCAGTACTCGATCACGAGTTCCCGCAACTCGACCAGCGGCCTGAAACTGCCGGCGCTCAAGGAGCTTTGGTAGAACAGCCCGTCGCTGCATTCCAGCCGCAGGCGCACCGTGTGCTGCGGCTGTATCACGCTGAAGTTGGTATTCTCCAGCTCACTGTTGATGGTTCTGAGACGGCACACGAGCGAGACGTCGTCTTCGGCGTCGCCAGTCGTTACCCACTTGCACTCGTCAGGCGCCTTGTACCTGAGCGCCTTGCTCAGCGACGCGCCGAGGACACCGAATATCGTGCCCAGCAGTATGGCGAAGAAGGCAGGACTGCCCCGCATCTTTCTCGCCGAGCGTGATCAATGTTCCATCAATGTGCCCCGTGCCGCCCCCCGTCGTCGTCGTCGACGTCGTCGTCGTCGTCGTCGTCTTCGCCGACGTCGTCGTGATGATCGCCTCTCCTCCCTCTTTATCCCACTAACGCCTCGTGAGACCGGCGTCGATCCATTTAAAAGACCGGTCGCCGTGATTTTACCTCGCGTCATCCATATCACTCTCTCTCTCCCTCGCCTCTCCTTGTCTCAATCGACGATCGGCCCACGGCACCTCTTTACTCCGCCTTACGATTCCGGCGGTTTCATCCTCGGTGATTCGTCGTGCGTTCGGGCAAACGACGTGCGCTTAACGGAACGAACGTGCAAACGAGAGGGAGAGAGAGAGAGAGAGAGAGAGAGAGAGAGAGAGAGAGAGAGAGAGAGAGAGAGAGAGAGAGAAAGAAAGAGATAGAGAGACGAAGAAAAAGAGGGAGAGAGACAGAAAGGAGGAACGGGTTCGGCGACCCCGAGATTATCGCCTTCGATGGTGAGAAAAATCTCGTGAACGACGAAAAGTCACCGGTATGACGCGCGCGTATACGGCTCCGGTAGGGCCCACGGTTCTTCCAGGACTGGTTGGCGGAGTTGTAAGGCCCTGGCGGGCTCCGTTACCCTCCCCCCGCTGCCCACCTCCTGCCACCTTCCGTATAGCCGCTCTCACCTCTCCCCGGCCGTCCTTCCTTCTCCCACCCGTTCTACCTTCTCTTCGTCGTCCTCTTCGTCGTCCTCGTCTTCGTCGTCGTCCTCGTCGTCGTCGTCGTCTTCGTCGTCCTCATCGTCGTCGTCCTCGTCGTTCGTACCCGGGTCTCAACGTTCTGGCAAGCCTATAAAAACAAGACAGGTACACTCTCCGGGTCCTTACAGTGGCTCCTCCGCATCTGTAGCCTCCTCCATCCACTACGTTCTTATTTCCTTGTCCCTCCTCCCGTTTTTTTCCATCTCTCGCTTTCTCTCTTCCTCTTTGTACTGCGCGCCCCCCCGCATCTCGTGTTCCCCTCGTCCTTCTCTCTCCCTCTCTCTTTACGCTCTTTTTTCTGCCTGTCGATCTTCCCTCTTCTCTCCTCTCTTTCTCTCTATTCTTTCGTCGTATTGCCGTTCGATCCATCCGCGAAACCTCCGCTGCGCCGTCATCTGTTCTCACATCGTTTCTACGATTCTGTCACGTAGAATGGGGCCGCGAAAAAAAAAGATGTTTGTCCGATGCCTTTGTGCGTGAATCCCGTTTACGTTCATACTCTGCTGGTCCCGCGCTTCGCAAATACTTTTTGCAGATTTCCGCCGCGTTCCTGCGCGCTTCTCGCAGCGATCATTCGCCTCTGATAAAAAACGCACGTCGTTCCAGTTTGCATTTTACACTAATTAACCTTTGTGCGTTATCACGATAAACAATAAGAGTTTTTGATCACATTTTGTCCCAATTTATTCATTATATTTGATTGAGATGAATATTCGATTTTTTTCAAGTCTGTACACAAAGAATAAACGCGATCAAATGTATAAATAAGAGAGTTTCCTTCGTTGAAGATGAAACGATCCACGAAAACGCAAACAAACCTATTACACGGAATGTTCGATTTTGAGCGTCCCTAACGCGTCTTTTGAACTGGGGATTGGTTCCGTGTACCTTCCCGAGCCTTTAGACTGTATTTGGGATTCGCACATTTTTATCCTATTGAGCGTGAAACGATCGGACACATTGTGTTAGGAATTGTGTGTAACACCATGTCAAGTGGTCTCCTACGGTGATGTCCGCCTCCTTTCAGAAAACAGTGCTTAGCAGTTCGGTCTCCCGTCGTTGGAAAGTGATTTGTTACCTTTACCTGCTCAAAGTAGGGTTCCCCATCGGCAAAGGGTCTTCTAAATCATCCTCATCGCTTAAATCAGCGATCCAACCTGCCCCATTCATCGAAATTTAAATGACCATAGACGTGCGCGCCAAGTCGGGAATCGATCATCGACGATCAGAAGTGATTACGTCGTTTATCATGTGAAATTACGCGGGCCCGTATTAACCAGTTAGCGTTAACAATTATTATAATTTGAGTGGCTGCGTAATTATCGAAGTAACGACATAACGAGGAGCTTAGAAGGAGAAACACGTTATGGGTAACGGAGAGAAAGATACATGGATAAGCCGAATGTAAATTAAAAATGATAAGCCGAATGTAAATTAAAAAAGATACATGGATAAGCCGAATGTAAATTAAAACTCCCAGATAGACAGGTGCACGTAAATTTGGCAGCAACTTTGCTGGTCGGTTTGTAAAGATTGCATTTTTTATGAATGGTTTATATATCACTCATATTTGTCATGCATACAAAATAGGAACACGAAAGAAATACGCGAGAAAATTATAAAAATTTATTCAAAACAATGTTATGTAAAATGTAATGCGAAAATCTGACAGCAACTTTTCATAAATTTATTGCTGCATCAATGTAACCAGAAATTCACATTATTTTACGGTATAAATTCAATAATTCAATACGCTATATTTGCTTTATAAATGTAATTAAACGAATTGTCACGTTTCCATCATCTCGCGTCGTGATAATAATGAAAGTCAATTTGGGTTGTTTTGTACAAAAGTGCGATTTTGTCGTTGCTCCACTTATTCCCAGAATTGCAGATACGCAGAGTCATCTTTCCCTCGCGAGATGCTATTTTATTAATACGTCTAGTTTCAGTTTGCACGGTTTATCTTGGCGACATGTGACGCTCGTATCGTATTTCTACTACTGTGAATATCTCAATTGTACTTAATACACGCTGTAGCCCATTCTCTCTTTTCACGTTGCGGGACACGTAATAACTCACTGGGGAAGAGCCGGCGAAACAACGCTCGTGAGAACTTCTTGCCGCCATTGTCAGTGTCGATAACGCGAGTAGACCGCTGGTTTCGCAATTAGGCGTGCGTTTTATCATACGTGCTCATTGATCGCTATTACAAGATCTTCGCCAAGGCCGCGGGGCTTTAAATCGGTATTATATTTCACTCTTCCGCCGGTCGCCTTTCTCGCAACCGGCTGGCCGGCTGGTAATTGCCGACGCGGTGGACTGCATTTTAGCCGTCTATAAGCGCTCGCGATATTATTCCAGGGTGTCTGGTGTTTTGCGGATTAACCATGTATCACGCGCTGTAAAACGAAACTGCAACCTGCTAACTACCTCGATTACCTCGCGCGAGCGCGCAAGGGAGTTCGCGCCATTCTTTCTCATTACACAAATATCTCGAGTTCTTCCGGGAAAGAGTTACTTCATCCTCGAGATTATTCCCGCCGGCTTTCATCGGGACGCAATTTTTGGCTGATATTACATTCCCGTCGCCAATTACTGTAACCGTTCGCGAACGCGCGATGATACACAGAGAGACGCGTTCGGGAAGCGTTCGTTGCGTGTAAATTCGATTCGATCGACCCCACCGCGCGGATTATACCGATCGCTTTTAATTCGTGGGCAAATTTTGCTGCGCGCGCCATTCTCTGGGGGTTGAGTGTGCTTCTAATCACTGACGACCGTTTCGTTTTTGTGTCACAGCTTAATGGATCTTTTTCACCTTTGGTCGCCCGAAACAAATCAGTTATACTCAGGAATTTTTCTGAAGAAAACGTATCGATTTGTGTATGTAACTTGATATATTTATTGTAGGAAGTATAAAGGAACACTAAAAATGTAATCTATATTCGAAAATGTAAACTTTTAAACGCGATATTCTCGAAATCATGTTTCTTAACGTTGGTTTTCAACATCACAATACAAGGCTTCTCCAAGGCTATTAAATCGAATGATTTCAAACTTTCTACACATCTTCAATGCATGTGTATCGAGTACATAAGTTTTCTGAAATTTTTACATCTAATGTTTTTTCGTTATATGAACAAGTTGTTTCTTTCAGTGAGAAAGACGCAACTTTCACTTTGTACTGACGCTACTCTGTTAATTTTCAATTTTTCGTAAAATCACAGGCATTTACTCCCTCGATATACACGCATTGGGTGTAAAGTCAATTGGAGGATACACATTTTTCCAGTAAAAATTCTTGAATATAGCTTATTTTTCAGGTATCCAAAGGCATCGAAAAGAAATCGCAACTTGTGCGACTGAATAGGGGTCAGACAAAAACTCACGAAACGGTATCTCTGCTCGGCTGCTTCAAAACTCTGCTGTGTTAACTGTGAGAACAATTGACTGAATCTCTTACAGGAATCTTCCTGTTCCTGCAATCGGGTTTTCGTCTGTGGTCCCTCAGATAACAGAAAATCAGTTACACGAACCGAGTATTTTTTCCCGTGTGGTAGCCACCGTAAACGAAGATTAGATACCGCCACCTTGAATCCTAACGATTTGGACATTTCATTATCGACAATTACATAAATCTCGCTTTTAATCTCGCGTGGCGGCGGCCAGTCCCATGCCGATAAAGGGCAATTCCTACGATTTTACGGAGGACCGGGCGCTCCTCGTTTCTTCCTTCTCTTTCCTTTCTTTTCCCTTTTCGTCAGGTTTGATTAGCGACGCGATGTGAATGGACCTTAAGCAGGAGGAGGAGGATGCCCCGATGGCTGCGCCGCTGAAAGGTGGCTAGTTGGCGGCAGGGATCGGCGAAAGCGGTCAGTGATCGCTGGGGCCTCATGCTCGGGCCCCTCGTTGCTCACGATCGGGCACCGCTCCGGCACCTCCTTTCCCTTTACCCTGCCCCCTCCCCCTCCCCCCACTACCATCGCCACCATCACCACCACCATCACCGCCGCCGCCGCCGCCGTCGTCACCACCAACGCCAGCACCTCCGTCCATTCCCGTCCTTCGGGCCCCACGGGCCTCCCCCCACCGCCGTCGCTTCTGGGCCTAGTCTCCTTTCAACAGTGCAGGTGACGGGGCATTCTTTTAAATCTAATCAACTACCGAACCATGCGTCGTTATGTACTGGGTGTTTACGAATACGAGGTTCGTTTAAAATGTTAGCGGTCCTCCTCTCTATCTAATGAGGCAATTTGTAGAACCGTGAAACGCGGCTCCCGCTGTACGCGGCCCGTGTTACGCGTTGGTGGCCACGATGCTCGATGTTTCCCGAAGCGGTTATTAGTGTCCGCGATTGTTCGCGCGAGTGCGCGCGTACTCTCCTGCCGCGTTAATCAATTGTTTCCCTATCTCTTTATCGCGCCGAGAAATCTCACATGTCATTGTTTGCCGTGGAAAAACGTAGGCGGGCACGACGAAAATTCGTCAGGCGATACCCTACAGCGGTGACAGGAGTGACAGAGCACCGCCGGAACTCGGCATTAACGCTCATCACAAAATTGATGTCTCCTTCTATTTTTCTTTCTCTCTATTCTTCTATTTTAAGGAAACGACCGTTTTCATCGCCATCACGCGCACGTCATTCGCGTCGGAGCACACCCTGTATATATCGGCTGACTACGGATGAACGCGTGTGTGTCTCGCTTTCACGATATCGAGGCAGGCGCGCTCGCGATGACAAAGAGCGTCGGGATCGAGAGACGCTGTCATCGCGCATTCAGAAATTACGCAATCGGATCCCGGTGTTGTAAGCGCTCCTCCCCCTCGTTCGCCGGCGGACGAAACCTTCTGTTTTCCTGGCCACGTCGCTTCACGTTTTAGGCGTGATGC